CCCTGCATGTCATACTATCTCAACCAAGTAGCTTGCGAAGACAATTCTGAGATGAAGAGTGGCTTGAATTATGAAGACATTGAAAGATACCAAGTAATAGATCATTGGTAATTGTATTTGAGGTAGAACCTGCCTATGAAGGACATCCAAAAAGAGTGTTTGTAGAATAATTCCATAACAAAAATACCAAAGTTCATGCTTGATCACAAATAAAAGACTTGAGGTACTATCAATGGCTACAGGGGCCTAAAAATCATTTGCATTGCGAAAAACAACTAGAATATATAGCAGACACCATGCAACAAATCTTTAACTTCTTGTGCATATACTGACTTGTAGCAACATTACTTCTTAGAGACCTCAAAATTAGATGAGGAGGTGATGTCACAGACATACAACTGAGGAAGAGTCGAGAAGATTCTAAGAGGTTCCAATAGGCTCTAAGAATGTTCTAAAAGATTTCGAAAGGTTCCAATAGGCTCTAAGAAGGTTCAAGAAGATTCCAATAGATTTTAAGAAAGTTCTAAAAGATCATAAAAGAACCTAGAAGGTTCTTGGAGGCTTTAGATAATTTAGGAAGTTGCCAAAGAAGGATCTTAAGCTTGTTTTGTTTCCAAGCCTCATGAAAACTTCTTAAGAAGCTTCCTAGGATCTAATATACATAAGAGTTGATATTGAGGGGATCCTTAGTCTCGACAACTCACTTCTTGTCGTTTAGCTAGGACCTTCTTGTCTTATGTCCTATTATTATTCTAATGTTGAGCTAATTCTATTTTTTGATCTTGAATCCTTATCTTGTATATGGTCCCTAACGTAGATTAGTGATGAGATCTATTGATATTGAAGACTATAGTTGATTTGAGATTGGTAGTGGCTGTAGAAGTCTATAAGAATTATGTTAAGAATTTTTGGATCATGAACAAATTTCACTTAAGAAAACAAAGTCTTTTATATTCTTCTATATTTGAAGCCACCATAAATCTTGAGAAATAAGCTCAAATATTTTATTAAACCAAAATATCGTATCATTGAAAAATCTTCATGAAATTGAAGAACACAAAGTCACATTGGTCTTTTTAGAATATATAAACAATCTTCATAATATAAAATATCTTCTACAAACTTAAACTTTTTATTATCAAGGCATTGCATAATATTACAAATTAATAAATCTTTATCTAATACTACATAAATTTGTTCAAAAAAACTTAAATCAATAGGTATAACTATAGAAGTAGCATAAAGATGAAATTATTTTGGCTTCAAGAGAGTCGTATATTGGTGATCAAATGTTGTTTTTGTAATCTTTGGAGCAAGATATGATTTCTTTGATAAAGCTTTTGATAGTCTTTGTTGCTTTCTTGGTTGATATATAATCACAAAATTAAAATGAAATAATGATATATTTAAAAAAGTTTGGTATTGATTCAAAATTTGAGGTAACATGAAATATTCTAATTTTTTTTTATCTATGTATATAGTCACAAGATATATAGCATCTTCTAATAAATAATGCCATCATTATAAAAAATCTATAATCATAAGAAGCACTTTATTGTGAATGTTGTAATTGATCTCTACAATTGAATTTTTTTTTAGAATAGAATACAATTAGGTGGAGCTTTCTATCTTTTCTATTTATGATAATGTAGCTCCTAATGCAAAGTCAAAAGCATCGATTTCCAAATAAAAAGTCTTATTAAAATTTAGATGCAATAATAATGGAGTTGTAATAAAAGATATCTTCAAATCTTGAAAAGTCTTTTGTGCTTGACATCCCCATTTCAATTTGTCTTTGAACATCAATTGAGTGAGAAGAGCAGCAACTTGGGAATTGTTCTTGATAAATATTCAATAGAAATTTACAAAACTAAAGAAAAATTATACATCCCATGTTGCGTTTGGAGTTTTCCTCTCTATTATAACTTAAATTTCCTTTGGATCCATCAACAAGCCTTCAATGGATATAATACAATGAAGAAATTTTACTTTTAATTGATGGAATACACATTTCTTTAATTTGGTATATAATCTTGTATTTTGTAATTTTTGTAAGACTAATCTTACATATTCTTCATATTCTTCAGGACTCTTGGAGTAGATTAAGATATCATCAAAATAATAGATAATAAATTTATCTAAGAATTCTTAAAAAACATCATTTATCAAATGTTGGAATATAGTTGGAGCATTTGTCAATCCAAAAGGCATGACATTATATTCATAGTTTTTGTACTTTGTTATGAGTTGTTTAAATTATATTGCATCAATTTACATATCCTTAGCTTAAAAGTGTAGAAATAATGTATTTATTAAAAGAACAAAGTATAAATTTCTAATATATTTTTTTATCAAAGTTTATGAATGTTGATCTTGATGGCATTGAAATAATCAATTATTGCACTTCATAGCTTGGTTGATAATTTCATTGAATATTTAAGGATTAAATAATGATAGTAATAGATCTTTTATCTTATTCTTTAGTTTCCAATAGAATTGAGTTATAAGAGCTTCTTCATCTCAATTGATGTCACAAGCCAATTACACAAAATCAAATGCATAAACTAATGCACATCATGATTCTTAATGTAATAAGCAAGTCTTTGTTGTTGCTCATTGAGTCTTATCATGTTTTTCAAGTTCCTCTACAAATACTTCTAAAAAAGCTTTAAAGTTGCTCAAGATTAGAGATCTCTTTTCAAATAAAAGAGCAAACTAAAATAAGGCTTGAGTTGTGAACAAGATTCCAACTAAATCAACTTATAATTTTTTTGTTGGATAGTGCTCACATTGTAGAAAAGTTACCAAGTGAATTTGGTTAACAAATCCTTGAAACTTCAAGCGTCTACTATTAAATTTTTCTAAAAGAATAATCTAAGGTTCTTTATGTTATTGAATAGGTGAATTTTCTTCTTGAAGTATAAGTGCCACTGCCTCCTTGGATGTAGAAGCTTAAGATAGTGGTTGAATCACAAGTTGATCTACTTCAAGTCTTGCATCACCATAAAAACTTGCAAAAAATCCCTAAATTTTAGTAGTTCTACAAACTAAAGCATTCAATGTAATTATAATAACATCGAACTTGGACTTAGGAGACTCAACCATACTAACATCTTTACGTCTACCTATCTTGGGAAAAATAATAATAATAATAATAATAATAATAATAATAATCTAAAATAATATCAGTTTAGAAGAAGGTATTTCATAAATTTTAAAAGACTTAAATGCCTTCAAGAAGAGAGGTAATCCACTCTCTATGAAGAAGGATCAAGCTTTAGTATTGATAAGATAGAAGTCTTGAAAAACTATTATAGATATATTATATAAGAGACTAAACAAGAAGTTAAATGGAAGAGTTTCAACTAGAAAACTAATAGGAACTTAATCAAATGAGTATAAGATCAATACCAAGAAAAGTGAGCTAGAGCGCCAAAAAATATGTTGTTGAGACTAAGTATCTCCATTGCTTTGATTCCAATATATACTAGGTATTACGAAGCTTCTCAAGAAATTTTCATGTTGCTTGAAGATGAAGCAACCTTAGGAAGCTTCTCAAAAAAATTCCATGTTACGTGAAGATGAAGTAAGTCTAGGAAGCTTTTTAAACAACTTCCTTAATCTTTTTAGAACTTTTTAGAATCCACTAGAATATTTTAAGAACCTTCTAAAATCTAATATAATATTCTAAAAATATTTCTATAATCTTTTTATTGGATATCTATAATTTATATGATCTTATTCAAATATTCTTCTTTAGATTTTGTTTTTAATTTCAAATTAAATTTTTAGATATTATTTAATTTAAATTTGTAAATATTTATAAAAAAATGTATATACAACCAAATCTACAAACAATCATTAGATTATTGAATTTAATTCTATCAAATGCTTTGAGACTTTATTCACTATATTAGATCTAATTAAAAAAAAATTAAAACAAATACTTTATGAAATATAAATATAATTTTATAATTTATTTTTAAAATAATATCATAATATTATTACTATTTTCATAGTCTTTGTATATAATGAATTTCAATTATTTAATATTTTTCTTATTATATATCTTTTTAAATCTTTCAATATATTTTATAAAAAATATATCATGCATAAATTTAAACATTGTATTACTAGCTATTATTTCAAGTCACTAGAATCTTACACAAGTAACTTTTATCTTTATAGAACTTAAAATGAGATGCAAAAATAACTTTGTCCTTACATTTGTTAAACATTCTTTTAGATCTTTTGTTTCTTGTGGCTTCTCAATCTTTATAAATTTAATATAATTATATGATTAGTTAATTTTTATTTTAATGTATTTTTAAGTATATTTTAAAAATAACTATACATGTATAAATATATGTGTATATAGACATACATATATACATATAAAAAAAAAGTTTTAAAATCAACTTCTATATTATAAACTAGTGTCTTCTTATTATAAAAAAATGTTATAATGAGATGATAAATAAAAATATGTAAATATTTAATAATGGTTTTGTTATAAAATATGGATTATGTTCATTGCATTAAAAATTACAAGGTTATCTATGTGTTAATCAATATTTACTTTTACATGTTTAAAATAATATAATTGAATTAAGTTAAGCACACAATTTTTTAGTCCTCTTGATATTTTACTAAGTCATTTTACTTTTTAGCTCTAAAAATGTGGGGAATATATTTATTTATATATATATACCAACAATGGTTTTATTACCAACATTCATGCCTTTCATCATGTTGGGATGAAAAAAAAAATCTTAAGCTTTAAGTAATGTGCAGCAAGTATGAATAAATACAGCATTAGGTGGCCACGCAAGAGGGTCAATAAAAGCCAGAAAATCGAAACAATAAGCCTAGCGGGAACCACAACTGCCTACGTGGACACGAGCAACATATCATACACAAACACAATGCACAATATGCAAATACGACATACCTAGTATAAAGTACAAGATACTATATGGATACAAAGCCAACCGCGAGCGATCATTTCCGGTAAGTCCCACAAACTCCGTTGCAGCGAAGCGCAGTGACTCTGAACTTGCGCTCGCGCTCAGACACAGCATCACGCAGACACACGTATTTGCGAAGAGCGAGGGACGGGGAGGGGGTTTGCAGAGATTGAAGGAAGAGGGTGCTGGGGTCATGGAGACCTAGGGCATCGGAGCTTGGCGTGTCGGAGCGGCTTGGCTGGGTGCATCACTTGGAGAGCCGCTCGCTCGAATGCAATACCTCTTCAGATTTTCTTCCTTTACAAATTTAGAGGCTTGATTGGCGTGGTTGTCGAGGTGGGAAGATGGTGCAGGAGGTGAGTGACTATTTTGATTTTTTAAATGCCTTCTGTGTGTGTGTGTGTGTGTGTGTTTTTTTTTTTTTTTTGGGTTCTCTGGTGTCGTGAGCTCATGGTGGGGTTGTTACTTGGGTGAGTGTTGAGTGGTTTACGGTATGCTGGAGCGGAGAGGGTTAGGAGGATTGGAGGTTGTGTGTGGGTTTGGATGGAGAAAGTGGGGTTGTGATGTGATCAGGGATGTTTTGTCCGTAATTTTTTGGGAAAAAAATTGCAAGGAACTTAGTGACACGATTTGGTGAATTTGGTGTGTGTTTGAGAAGGAGGAGATTAGGGCACCAGCCAACGTGGGTCAGACGGGGCCGACTAGTGCGGCGGGCGCGACGTTGAATCGTTCTTTGTCGGGGCAGAGACTGCCGCAGTACCCGCAAACGCCTGGGATGCCAATGGGTGCACGTCCACCTTCTGCAGGGGTGACAACTCCTCATTACAATCCTCAGTTTCTGCCCACTAATGCAGCTGCGGCATCACCAGGGACTAACACGTCCCCAATGATGATGCAGCAGAGGCCAGGCCAGATGCAACAACAGCGACCCACCACAGCAACACAAGCAAGTCAAATCCGGGCAGGGGGTTACTTGCAGCAAACGCAGCAGTTTCCACACCCTCAATATGTGCATCATATGACTTCTCTTCCCATGAATGCTGCCAGACCTGGGGTACAAGGAGCTATTTCGCCAGCTGCAGGCACGCAGCAATATGGAAATATGCAAAACATGGCTTCGGTGCAACAACATAACACACAGGCATGTTCCCTCTTCGTTTTAGGGTTTAGGGTTTTGAAGTATTTTTAATTTATGTTGCGCCAGAGTTTGGGTTATACGCGACAAGTTTCAGCTTCGGTGTGCTGGGAGGTCAAGCTACATTTCTGTTTAGTGTGTATTGCTCGGAATGCGGGTTTTACAAACACAATTTTGAGTCCTGTTGCAATCATGCCTACAAGTATTATTTTCATGCTAATTATTAGTCGTTGAATTTCAACATTTGAATTATACGTGACTTGGGCGACTCATTTTTTTTGACTTGGATGCTGAAGGTCCTCAAGTATGTTGATGAGAGGATCATGTGTATTGCTGAGTCTCTTTGTCCGACGCCCCGGAGATATGTTCAGTGTGCCCAGTGTGTGCGTGCTAGGCAGTTTCCCTAACAGCGTTGGCTGCTTTGAAGATATGTTTCTAAGATGTGTCATGCTGACCTGAGTTTCGTTCGCAGGTTAGACAGCAGCAGCAGAAGCAGGGGCAAACACCTGGAACCCAATATATAGGCGCTGCTACAGCTGGTCAGCAACAAACGCCTGGTTCTGCTGGGCTTGCCTCGCTCCAGCAGCAGCAGCAGCAGCGGCAACAACAGCAAACAAATCAGCAACTAAGTGCTCAACGGCTAGGGTCACAACAGCAGCAGGCAATGGCTCGACAGGCTCAAGGCGCGCCGATGATGCAGAATCAAGGAAACACCATGCTGGGAAGGGGGGCTACAACAGGCGCTCAAGTGCAAGGTCTTGCAGCTGGAGGCCAGCAGCAACAGTTATGGCAGGGGAAACCTGCTCAGTATCAACAACAGCAGCAGCAACAACAACAACAACAACAACAACAACAGGCACAGCAACAGGCACAACGGTCACAGCTGGCCGGCTCATCCTTGGTCGCTAACCAAGCGAGGCCTTCCACACCTGGGGCAGCTCAGGCAAACAACGCACTTCCTTCTCCTGCTGCTGCAACGAACCCTCATACCGAGCCACTTAATACGTCGGGAAGTATTCTCAGAAAGCGCAGTATCCAAGATTTAGTTGCACAGATTGACCCTAAAGAACGGCTTGATCCTGATGTGGAAGACGTGCTTCTTGAGATTGCAGATGATTTTATTGAGAGTGTGGCTTCATTCGCTTGTAAACTAGCAAAGCACCGCAAATCAGCTGTACTTGAAGCAAAAGATGTGTTGCTCCACCTCGACAAGCAATGGAACATAACCGTTCCGGGTTTTGGTGGAGAGGAGATTCGTTCTTACAAACGTCCCCAGATCAGTGAGTCACACAAACAGCGTCTTGCTGTGGTGAGGAAATCTGCAGCAGCTGGACAGGCTGCAGCAGAGACGAAAGTTGCTACTTTACCTGCTGCAGCGCCCGCTACGAACCTCTCCACGCCTGTCAAAGCTGGGGTTTCAGGTCCAGCAACCTCTCCTACGCCGTCTCCAGGCATGCCAAGAATACCACGGGTGTAGCAGTTCACACTTTTTCTTTGGTACGACTCTTTTGCATTTTGTGTATGGAGAATATACCTCAACAATTTCAGCTATTAAGTAATATTCATATCTCGTACAGCAGTTTAGACTCTGTTGCATTTGATTATGTTGGACTTAGTTGTGCTGTTAACTTGTTTGATTCTATTTCTGGGTGCCTAATTGAAAGCATATCGATCAAGGTTTCTGACGAGATAACTGAACAAAAGTGAAACTCAGATGGTAATCTGGGTGTTTCATTGCTAGCAACATAATCAATTCATACTTGTGAATGGGACAGATACTTTTACATTCATCAACCTAGTTGAGATTTCTTACACATGTGATAACTATGATCGCTGAATTCAATCCTTAGTTCAGTTCTTTCTTCGTGTTCAATTGTAACCAGTGTCGTGGAAATTGCAGCTGGAGATGTCACGCTTGTTTTTATTGGCTGGTCTTCCAACGAGTTGGATTCATTTCGAATGTTCCGGGTGCACCGAAGTTCCCCCCCTCAGCCAGCCTCTTTTAATACGCTCACTGAAGATACTTCCACGCCACCTTTGGACCTGAGTCTGTTGAGAGCCACCTCAACCTTCTCAAACCATCAGCTGCACAGCATGCATCAACTTCTGTGGCTCTTCGCATCATCTGGGATGGACCCTAAGTTCCAGCCATACATTTTTTTTCCCCTTGTATTTATATTCACCAATGTCCACTTGCTTGCACCAGGGCAGTTTTACAGACCCAGAATTACCCACTGCCTGTGAGGGGAAGTACCTCGCAGGACACCGGGTTATCTACCTATCGTTTTGATATTGTTGGCAGCGGCGACCAGGAGTAATAGTTGAACTAACCTTACTATGGTTTCGAACAAGTCAGAGGTACACGTTGCCCCTAAGGTAACCGTGATTCTTTCTTAGCCTTCAGTGCACATACTTCGCAACATGTCGATATGCCACCCACCCCTTTGATGCCAAAATGTGTCTATCATTTGGTCAAAATGAGTCACTATGTGTAGGAAGTGTGTACGTTTTGGGAATAATTTGCTTTGACAATGATGGTGTTGTGCATGCTGTGCTCATTGTTAAAATGTTTAGAAACGTCTCCTGATTAAATTCGAGTGTTATTGGTGCAATAAATCTAATTCATTTTATTTACGGTGTGAAGCAAAACTGAGTCAAACTCTTTTATTTCCTAATTCAATCAACAATGTAGGATATTGACAATAGATCATTACAAACTATAAACTGTGCATTACATTTTAGTACAGTTTGAGTACATTACATTTTGATGGGAAGTAATGTTTCTTTTACAATAATATGAATAAGAAAATACATTTAATGCAAACTATGTTTCTTGACTTCACTTTGGCATGTTCTTATACAACCTTTTTATACTTCAGTGGAATGGAGGTTCAATATTCTTCAATAAGTTCCTACAACTTTGAAATTCCTAATGGAGCACTTTATTGGTTGAGATGACATTTTAGTCCTATTCAAAGATGTTCAATTAAATCTAGACTAAGAGACTATGCATGCTACTTAAAAGTATTCAACTTCATGTAATTGTCAAGGACAAAGACTCGATGAGGGAAAATATACACAAAAAGGCTATCTCGATATAATAAGTCAAAATATAAACAAGTAGGTATATTAAAAGGAAACTGGAATGGCTATTGCTACAAGACAAGAAACTAAAGACTCTTGAACCTGGACTAGAAGCAAGAAAGGAGTTGACAAGAGTGAAGAAGCCTTCACTCTTGTCTCTATATATACTATCTAACTAGGGGCTACGTGGCGACGTTCTATAGGACCTCCAATATGTGTTGACTTTGTAGGACACATGCCTTGACTTACAAGGCAAGTTTTTCTACGTGTGGACCACATAGTTAGCTTGATCTTCAAGCTAACAACATGTGTGGCACATGGCCAACTTGTTGACCACGTTTCTAATCCAAAAAGTCAATTAAAGACACCTATGAAGTCAAAGCAGCGTCTAGGAAGTTTCTATGAAGCTTCTATATTAAATATTATAGAATTAACTTACTTTTATCTACTTTTACTTACTTCTACCTATTTCTATATGTAATTATTAGCTTACATGATTATGGCCGTGACAGTAATCCTACACCATTATCAAACCACCACCAAAATTTATTATCTATTGAAATTGTCTTTAGTTGTAAGATTATTTATTATAAATCCATCACCAACAACAACTATATGAGCAAAATTGGTTTACTTTTGTTTTATTATAGAAGATAACTCACTCTTAGTCACAAATAGTCCAATGTTCATGGCATTTAGTAAATTCAAGTCACTCCTTCATGTAAATTTGGTTCAATTTTTGCTTCTTATGTTTCACTTTTGATATGAGCCGTGCAATATATAAAATTCCTCTCATTATATCATTATTTATAGTAACTTGGCATTCTTTATAATTATGTTGAATAACCTTTGTCAAAACATCAATATCTCCTAATATAGTAACTTAGACATATACTTTCATTTGTGTATTTGTGAGCACTTGTGATCTACCATCACTATAAACTCAAAGATTAATCAATTTCTTTTTTCTAATTTGTATAACATAGCTTTGAGTCTCATATAACTAATTTGCTACATCCCTTATAGAACTATTAACTTGTAACTTCATAAAAATAGAGTTATTAAGATCTATTCTAGCACTAGCAGAAAGCTCATTTAGATATACCATGATTATTGAATAAGATCTATAGAAAACATTTAGAGAGCTTTGAGCTAAAGTATAGTCCAAATGTATATGTGCATATGAGTTTTGCAATGTTCAATTCCTCTTCTTCAACTTCATTGTGTTAGATAAGAAGATGCATCTAAAACTAAGTCATGACATGTATTAAAGCTGAAATAGCAATTTCTGATCACAACTTATGTATCTATCAATATTGGTTGAGTACTAGGTAGAAGACATAGAATAATATCTTTTGACAATGGAAATATAAAAACTCATTCATTGAATTTTCAATAAGTGAAGGTTTAATTTTTGTTTCTATATGGTTGACTCAATGTCATTGTACATTGTATCTATTTGGTAGAATATTAGAAATAGGGTAGTTAAAGTAATAAGATGTTAAACAATTGATATGTGTCATGGACATACATTGGAAGATTCTTCGAATATTCTTTTAGAATATTCTCTAAAGATTCTCTAAAGATTCCTTTAGAAGGTTCTAGAAGATTCTTAGAATATTCCCTAAAGATTCTCTTAGAAGGTTCTAGAATATTCTTAGAAGGTTCTAGAATATTCTGATAGATTCTAGGAAGTTGCTCGAGAAGTTTCCTAATTAGTAGAAGTTGTTGGAGAAGCGTCCTAGTTAGCGGAAGTAGCTCGAGAAGCTTCCTATTCAGTAGTATATATAGGAGTCGAGGCTGAAGAGTTCTTCAGTCTCGACAACACATCTCTTGGAGTTCTAGCTCACCTTTCTGGTGTTGTTCTTGTACTCATCTGTTTAATCTAGTTCTGCCACTTCTTCTTGAACTTCTTGTTAGATTTCAAGTCTGTATTTTGTGTCCGTGACAGTTTGTTGAGACTCCATTTTCACTGGTATCAGAGCTAGTTCCTTCTTGTTAGAGAGTGGATTACCCCTCTTCTTGAACGTGTGCTAGTGTTTTAGAGGTTGCGGATTACCCTCCTCTAAACTGATATCTCTTCTTTCTCAATATTGGAGCCTTATTCTTCTTGGAGAGAGTGGATTACCCCTCATCTTGGAGTCTTAAGGCATTTTAGAGGTTGCGGAGTAATCTCCTCTGAACCAATATTGTCCTCTTGTCAAAACTCTTTTTTCTTCTTTCTGAAGCTTAGCCGAAGGTTAAGACGTTAAAATGGCTGAAAGTTTGGAATCCAAACTAGACGCCATCATAAATGCTCTTGCCTCGTTGTCACATAGGACAACAGAGATCGAAGGAGTCATGGTAGGACTCCATAACAATGGAGCATCTGGAATAGCGCCATCTAAAGCATATCAGCCTCAAACTTCTGCGCCAGAAGAAGCAGTTCTACCTCCATTTCAACAAGATCGAGTAGTCCTACAACGAAAGGAGCCTCGAGTTAGTCTTTCGGATAAGTTTGATGGAACTCGTTCCAAGTTTCGAGGTTTTGTCAACCAAATCAGGTTGATAACAATTTTACAGCCCGAACGTTATCCGACGGAGGAAGCGCGTGTTGGGCTTGTTGGAACCTTGCTTACAGCACAAGCTCTGTCTTGGTTTACTCCCTTGTTTGAGAAGCGATCGCCAATCCTGAGCAACTTTGAAACGTTCTTGGAGGCGTTTGCAGAAGCATTTGGCGAGCATGATAAAGTTCGATGGGCTACAACAAAGATCCGATCGCTACGACAAGGAACACGCTCTGCATCAGTCTATGCCTCGGATTTCAGACAATTGGCAAGTGACATTAATTGGGGTGAAGAGGCGTTGGTGAGTCAGTTTTATTGGGGCTTGAAGGATGATGTGAAGGACTTGCTGTTATCTCTTCCTGATCCTCAAACGCTCAACGAAGCTATTAGTCAAGCTGTAAAGTGTGACAACCGCCTATTCCAGCGTCGCCAAGACCAACGTCCAAGACACCAAATGACTCGTTACGACGTGACTATGTCTGCAAATAGCTTAAACTCACATTCGGAGGCAACAGACATGCAAATCGACACGGCGCGTGTCCGATCTCTTACTCCAACAGAGAAGAAACGGCGTATGGAGGAAGGGTTATGTTTGTACTGTGGAGAAGAAGGTCACAAGGTTGGAAATTATCCAAAGAAGCAAAATTGGCACCCTGTCAAGACTAGAAGTGCGATGATTCCGGAAAACGACGACGCCCAGCGACAGTAGGAATTGTGCGACTGGACAATCTAATATCACGACAACAATCAGGTTCCTCCTTCTCTGTCCAACCTGCCCGTTGTTTTACAATTCCTTTGTTTTTAGGCCCTCAAAAACAAAAAACTTTAGCTTTATTGGATTCGGGGGCATCTACTTGTTTTTTAGATGAAGAGTTTGCTAAACGCCACAAGATCCGTTTAGTACAGAAGTCCAAACCTGTTCACGTAGAGGTGATAGATGGACGACCCTTATTGTCAGGCAACGTTACCCACGAATCAGAACCTATAGAAGTGGTGTTTAAGGACCATAGTAGTCACGTTATTTTTAATATTATTAGAACCCCATCAAGCCCTGTTATCCTTGGTCTTTCTTGGTTAGAAGATCATAATCCGTCCATTGATTGGAGGCTACGAAGGATAACATTTCCTGAAAAAAATAATAATAAACCTGTTGGTAGAACCTACATGAAGAAATCCATGTTTATTGGAGCGAGAGCGTTCCTAAGATCGTCCAAGGAAAGCGCACCATTTGTCATTTATGCAGCTCCAACTAGCGGCGAGAATATCTCAACATCGAATATACCAGAGCAATATAGGGATTTTGAAGACGTGTTTCAGAAGAAGAACGTCGATATACTGCCGGAACATCGACCATATGATTGCGCCATAGACTTAGAGGAAGGAGCGCAACCACCTTTTGGTCCAATATACAACCTATCGCAGACAGAGTTGGCAGAATTGCGGAAGTACATCGATGAGAATCTAGCCAAGAATTTTATTCGACATTCAAAGTCGCCAGCTGGAGCACCAATCCTATTCGTGAAGAAAAAGGATGGCTCACTGCGGATGTGCGTGGACTACCGAGGACTCAACAAGGTGACCAAGAAAAATCGCTATCCCTTACCTTTGATCTCCGGCCTCTTAGATCAACTTGGACGTGCAAGGATTTTTACAAAGATTGATTTAAGAGGAGCCTACAACCTTGTGCGAATCAAAGAAGGAGATGAATGGAAGACAGCCTTTCGTACAAGGTATGGCCATTTTGAGTACAATGTCATGCCTTTTGGTCTTACCAATGCTCCAGCGGTCTTTCAGCATATGATGAACGACATCTTTTGGGAGTACCTCGATGACTTTGTTGTCATCTATCTGGATGATATTTTGATATTTTCCAAGAATGAAGAAGAACATGAGAAGCACGTTTGTTTGGTTCTTGAAAAACTACGCGAACGAGGACTCTACGCCAAGTTGGAGAAGTGTCAATTTCACCAGAATGAGATGGAATTTTTGGGCTTCATTGC